CGACCGCTTTCCCCAGAAAATTTTCTCCCCGGAATTTGCGATGTCTCAAAAAAGGAGACCCCGCAAATTCCGGGAATAAAAATATTTTCTGGGAAAAGCGGGCGGAGTCAGGGAATACCAATAGCAATCCTGGCACGGTTTTGCCGCATGGTTTTTTTGCACATTTTAATACGGTCATGAGAAAAACCAGTTGAAATTTATGCTCCGCCCCTCTGACTCCACCCACTTCTCCAGGTCAAGAAAAAGGCAGCCATGTTAGGCGTTATGAATTACAACAAAGGATCCACAAAATTTGTGCAGAACCAAAAAAGTGAATATTCAAAAATCTGTTCTCTGAAACCCGGCCTTCAGGAAGAGTAAGCAATTGCTCAATTCTCCTGAACAAAAAGTGGTTTTACTACATATTGAAACATCCAAATATATGAAAAAATTGAAGAATAAATGATTTGGACACCCAGCAAAGAAAACCCGAGAAAAAACTCATTGGAAACAATAAAAAATGAAATCGTTAAATAACTCATCCTAAATATTATTCAGATACATAAAAGGGAGTGGAAGAGAAAACCCGGAGACCGTGGCCAAAGATCTCAAAATGACAAGGCAAATACTCATTAGCTTGATGATCTTTTGCTAAATGCTCACTTGCTAAATATGCGGAGTGGCTAAACTCGCTCATTTGCTAAAATAGTCTCACTTGCTAAATTTCATTTGCTAAATTTTGATCATTTGCTAAAAATGAAAAAGTGGAAATTTTGCTGTTATTTGCTAACTTCAGTACTTTTTGACTGATTTTTTTACAGAATATTCCTGTTTTTGCTTTAGATTTTAGGCTTAGGCTTAAACACCTGTTTTCCGGTAAGTAGTTTCAGCCTAAGCCTTCAATTTGAACAAATCCTCTATTTAGCAAATGATCAAAATTTAGTAAATGAAATTTAGCAAGTGAGACTATTTTAGTAAATGAGCATATTTAGCAAGTGAGCATTTAGCAAAAGATCATCAAGCTAATGAGTACAACCACCGTAAACAGAAAATATTGTAGGTTACGGTAGTTCTTGTTGTGGAATCTTCGGCCACGGCCACCGATGTTTTTTTCACAGATACTGTTTTAAAAAGTCATATTACCTTCCATCAAATTCTTGAAAGTCAGACAAAGAAGATAGAAAATTTTTGTACTACATTCTGCTTTAAAAGTGGTTGGTCGTTCGTGCTTGGAATTCAAATTTATTATAATCCTGCAAGTTTTTAGGCATGATGCTTCCATGAAACGGATACCCATTTCGAAAGTACTCGAGATTCCTCACTCTCCTCCACGCCCAACCTCAATTCCTAATAGTTTTTTCCCCGATGTTCGATAACAAATTTGTCTTTTCCTCATCCTTCTTCCACTTTGAATTCAAACAATTAGTCATCGACCATCTGCCTCCGGGATCACACGAAATCGAAACGACAAAATCATTCCAATTTTTCACACCGAATTAGCATTTCTTCGCAAAAGTAATACTTCTTTTCTTTGTATCAAGAATAACGATCGTCTCGGTTATCCAAACTTCTGCGAATTCGAGATTTCTATTTTTCTTCTTTTAACCGAAAACATCCTACTGTTTTCTATTGCTTTATAACTTTTATTAATATAAGCAACTACTACTATACTGGTACAAAAAGAAGGAGCAGTGGAAGAGAAACGTCAGTGGCGGTGGCTGAAGGTCCTACAACGACAAGTATAGTAACCTAAAAATATTTTCATTTTCAGGATTTATTTTCGTTCACAGCTCCGATTTTTGTATAAATTAATACAAATCAAATATTATACTGACATCGTAACGTCTCCAATAGAATCAGATGCTCTCCAATTCTGAAAGTCTCTAACATGAAGAACAAAATGAAATTCGTGTTCAAAAACGTTATTTTCATATACCGTAAATGCTGGAATATGTAGAAGTCCCTCCTATTCGTGCACGTTGAGCTCAATTATCAAGATTCCTATGAAAGATATCAAAAATCTGTCAACTGATAAAATATTGGTGATATTATGATAGATAATTTATTAGTCAAAAATTTATAAGTATCTTTCGGATGAACCAAGGAAATTGAGCTCAAAGTGTAGGTATAGGGTCTTATTAGAGCATTGAAGGTATTATTTTTCAATTATTTCAGCTGCTTTATGACATTTATCGTGCAAAAATATGATTTAAACGAAAAGGAATTCCTTGTAAATTCCGAAAACCTTCAATTGAGGAAATTTGACCCGATTCATCTCAGTTCATGTATGAGCTACCAAAAAGTGGTCTACAAAATTTTTTCAGCATTATGAAAACTTTTACTTTAGGTTAGTGAATTCCTGTTCGATACCTTAACGAGAAAGATTGCGTCGAATTGTGGGGCTTCTTCTTTAACAGGATTCACGGTAACCTTATCCGAAAATTTCCATAGATCTTAACTTTAATCTTACTCATGTCTGAACTTTTAGGAACAATGCGTTCATGGGGTCCTGAACAAAATAAACGTATTCATAGAAATTCTTTGATTGTCCCTCCCACCCAAAACAACGTCGCATAATAGTTAGTAAGTCATCAGTGGTCAACCGAAAATATTTCGTTTACGCTCCGCCGTATTCGCGTAATCGCGTAACGCATAAACCGCCCATCGCACATTAGCTCATGTGTCTCCACACATTCACTTTAGAGATCCATCTGTTCTTTTGCTCAGGAAACCACCTTGAATCAAAAATTTGTATTCCCGCCGCAGAATTTATATTTTGAGGTCTCGATGTCTATTTGTAGTTTTGCTTATTTATAAGAAGGGTCTTTGTGGGTTTTTGGTGCCGTAAGACCTGTAATAGACGGGGCCCTTAACTTCAAACTTTGAGCCAATTTATCTCGCTTCCTGTCAAAGATATGAAACATTTGTCGACTGATAAATTGCTTATCGAAAAATCAGAAGTATTTCGCCAGTTGGTACATTTTTGATATCTTGCATAAGTTCCGAGATAATAGAGCTCGAACTTTGGGGTATTGTGGTGAGATTGTAAACTCTCAATGGAATTTATTTTTTAACCAACTTTGTTGACTGCGTCTACGATAATGACTGATCGTATGCTGGAGCAGGTTCGATTTTACTGTTTTTCTTGTTTTTTTCTCTCACATGACTTATGATTGAAATGAAAGAATACGAATTCTGATTAACAAAATCACACAGCAATAAATGTATTGTATTCTGATTCACTTTTTTTCTTGCTCACCCTGATTACTTCTAAAATCTATTCAAAGAAACGAGGTTCCCTTTCCTTCTCTCCCCTCCTTTCATTCCCCGTCTTTTTGCTCCAGAACACAAGCTCCGCCCCCTTATTCTTTCTCACAAGTCCTTCTTCTCTCCACCCCTTTTCCCATTCTGTTTTCTTCTTCTATTTTTGCCCCGTTAACCAAACAAATGAATGGTGGTATATGTATCTGATTTCGTCTTCTTCTTGGTTTTTTTATTCCCAACACTCGTCTACATCAAAAATTCCATTAGCTCCTTTCCCCAACTTTCCCCGGTTTTCCAGCAACTAAGTTTCCAGATAAATTGAAAGTCGAAAAGCAAAAAATATTTACTGCGTTACGCGCATCTTCTTCTTCTCCTTCTTCTTCTTCTTCTTCTTTTCATTTTTTGAGTCGCCAGGCGCATCCGTTCCTCTCTCAACATATTACTAGAATATTCTATGAATAAGTGTGCTCTCTTTCCCCTTATTCACAACCATCTAACACCTTGATATTGAACCATTTTCTCATCGAGATACAACATCTCCTCTTCTCAATTCCTTCCTCTATTTTTATCTCATTTCATTTTTCATCGGGGACTTTTTTTTTGCTTCTCCGGGACTTGGCTCCGCCGTCATGTGCATCATCATCATCAACGTTTCTCTGTGTTTAAAAATGTAATAATTTGCAGATGATCCACGAGAAGCACATCTTCACATCATAATGCTTCGAAAACATTTCATCGTTTTCCCATTTCTTCTCTTTTGGAACCATCACTTGGTCGAGTCACTTTCAGTCACCTCTAAAAATGCAACCGAGGCGTTGTTACGATGTCCACCGGCTGAAAGTTTTATCAGGTATTAGGCTCCTCTCGAATTCTCCCATCTTCTATAGTTCAGAAGACGTCCATCCGTAGTATTCGTAATATTCCTAAACCATTCCCATTACCATGCATTTTAAGAAAGTAACTTTTTCTGCTGATGACCCATCTGCACTTTTATATGAAGGACACACAATATTTTCGGTTTGCGTGTCGAATGTAGATCTGACTTTTTAATTTCGATGGATGAAAACCCGAAAATAGTGTATGAGAAGAAGAGACGCAGGAAAACTGGTTTGAAGCTGTCAAGCGGAAAAACGTGTTCGAAGGAAGTTTTCTGAGAGTTTCAAACCTCTAAAAGGTTTTAAAAGTAGAAGTAAAGAGCAGGAAGTAAATGTTCTCCAGACTTTTTTAGTGTACTATGCCACTTTACTCCCAATTTCAGAACACATATGGCTCCGGATTTCGAAACTCCTCGATTAGTCCGTCGACTCGATTGGTTTCAAGATGACTCATTGGTAGCAAGTTATCAGCAGGTACAGCATTCTTTCGAATCCAACAAAATATCTAACTCCAAAAAGAACTAGAAAAAAAATAGAAAGAAGAAATTTGAAATTCGATTCTCACTACAAGATTTTCGTTTTTTTTTCATCTCCTGCCTTCTTCGTTTTTTTGTCGTCTCGTTGACAAAAAACGGACAAGTATATTATTTCGAACAAAAGAGAAAAAATGGAGAGGAGGAAGAAGATGAAGAAGGACGTCCTAATCTGAAAGGCCTTACAAACGCTCCTGCAGACAAAGGAGAAAGGAAAACGAACGAAAAAATAAAACGAATTTTGAAAAGGTGAAAAAGATACTTAATTTTTTGAGATTGTTTTTCTTTAATATTCTGAACGAGGAATTAGAAATAGCCAATAGAAACCAAACGTAGCAATTTCTCATATTTGACATGAAAAATGACAATAGACCGTCTGTTTTCTCGCTCTTTTCCTGTCATCATCAATCTCTGTGCATCCGTTGGGACACCTAATTGGCATAAGAAATGTCTCATTTGTAACATATGGCCAAGAAGGATATGCGCTAAATTGGAAATCAGAAAATTGCTGAGAAAAAAAAAAGAAAACGTTCTCCTGTGTGGTTTTCTCCTTTAAATCAATTTTCTGCGAATAGTTTCAAATTCTGTTCGCCTTTTTAGTACATTAGACGAAATCCTTCTTCTTATCCGGGGCGGTAGTCTTTAGGGACATGTAGAAGGTGTTGAAAAGGAGTTGGAGAAGAAGAAGATTGGATTAGACATGCCACACATTTCCGTTGATGGACACCAGAACTTCCATTCGTTTTTGAATTCTTGGGATAAGAAAAAGGAGAAGATGGTCTCGTTGAATATAGGTTTTCTATGTGATAATACACTGAACTAACGTATCGTAAAACCTGTAATAGACGGGCCTCCGCAACGTCATGTTTGAGCTCCATCTTCTCTATTTCTATGAAAGAACAAATGTGTCAGCTGATAAAGTGTTTTTGATATTGTGAAAAACATTTTATCAGTTGAAATCTTTCTTATATCTTAGAAGAGAACCGAGATAAATTGGTTGAAAGTTGAAAGTTATGGAGCCCTTCTGTTACGGACTTTACGGTAATTGTTCTAAGTTTTGCAGCAAATCCTTTTGAAGTTTGGTAACTAAACAAGATTATACAAATTTCCTGTTCCCGCCTATTCGACCAAGTATTATTACGCCAACTTAAAAACAAAATAACTTTGACAATGGAAACTGCTTTTTTCTTTCCCATGTTTTCTCTCCAAACAAAAAGTCGTTTGCTGAAACAATCCCGAAGAATTCCTTTTCGAAAATTTCCAAACCTCTTATGAAGTAGTTTCCACGTGTGTCCATTCATTATGTCAAGAGTATGTGCCTCTGTGTCTTTTTCGTTGCCTTTAAGTACCCTTATTCTGGTCCGAAAAGATCTCCCAGGATAACTTTGTGACACTTTTGGGTCCATTAAGGAGAGGGGTGTCCAATTGACCGGAAATGTATTTACACAACACTAAATTCCATTGTGGTATCGTCTTCCTGCATTACTCAATTGGCTCTCGTTAACTCTTTTGCGAACGTTTCAACTCTTCAAAGTTGTGTGGATAGAAAAAGAAAAAGTGTAGGATGATTGAGAAGAAATCAAAAGACATCAATCTGATTTCCTGTATCAGTTCTTTCGGCAAAAAAATGTACCCACACTTTTCCAATTCAATTTATCCCTCTTTTTCTACATCTAGATTCCTTCTCAAATTGTAGTTATTTCCCATTCAAAAATCGAATGGATGAAAAAAGAAGAAGAAGGCGAAAGAGAAAGAAAAAAGACCGGAACAATCTCATTTTGATTCGTCGATCCACTATAAAACCCTTCAAAAATAAATAATATCTAGACGAACAATTTCACCGGAAACATCATCAGATTTTCATGCGCTTTTTGAAGTAAATCCTTTTGAAGATGGAGAGAGAAAAGGGTAATTTTAGAGAGGGATTTTTAAATTTTTCTGAAGGAATTTTCACAAAAATACACTATTCTTTGGCCCAGGATCCAAGGGTACAGCAAAAATACATCGAGTTCTTAGGGTACATTGGTTCAGAAGGTCCATAGAATCTTGAGGTGTAAAGCGTTTTAGCCTATCAAGCCTATAATATTGAGAAAAATCGAAACAATGCAAAAAATATTTTGTTTTTTTTTCATCCTCCCACATGTACCACAAAATATCATTTACCCTTGGAACCAATGTACTCTTGGATACTGAGCCCTATTCGTTTTGTAGGTTAATCTGGCGAGGTCATATGGTATAGCTGTACAGCGGTTAAACATCTCATTGTGCAACTGTATAAATATGTGCAAACACCATACGACTATATCTCAGATTTTATTACGTAAAGACTTTGGGTAGAGTGTTCAAGATTCTCCTCTAAACACTAGAAAACATCTGAAAATCCACTCAGCTGATGCTCAAAAATCCTGAAAGTGAGCATGAAAAGTGCGTGGTTTTCTCCGATGAATAATTCACATTTGAGAACTCGAAAGTGTGGTACTTGAAAGTCTTGCGAATTTTGAGAGAATTCTCGCAAATTTTCAGACTTCGTAACTAGACAGATTCTGACAAGTTCGCTCTATCGAACTCCAGACAGACATCATCTACTCAATCTGTTCCAGTTCATAACTATTATATGTAGATGTTTATTCAAAAATCATGGTATAGACATAGTGGAATCAAACAAAAGATGACTAATTTGGTGCAAACTACCAAACTATCGACCATCTGCCCTTTCGATGAAATAGTTTGATCGATAGAGAGATGCAGAGAAACGACAGAAGATATGGGGACAGGAGGAGCGCGGTGTATCCCGGATGTTATTCCGGTATTTGAGCAAACATAGAAGGACCTTCCGGGCCGACAACCGGTCATTTGACACCAAAGGGAACAGAAAAGACAAGAAGAGATATCGGGAAGGGAAAGGCTGTCAGATGCACCTGAATTGATGAATTAGGATTAGGTCTAGGAATAACAGAGAAATATTTGAAATATCAAAATATACAGAGCTAAAGGTTCCAGAATGAAAACCACTTTGTGACGAAACATCTGAAAATAAATGAAAAATTTCCAGGACGTCTCGCCGATTCATCTCGCCAATGGTGGGTTGCAGACGGTCGTTATCAACTAATCCGTCCATTCTACACCCTTCGAGTCTCTCCTGTGACTCCCGAAGATTCTGGAACGTATCGATGTCGTCTGGAAACTGATCCATTATTTTCATCTCCACAGAGCACGGCTACACAAGAACTTGCAGTCATGGGTTCGTTTTTTACAAACAAAAAAAAACAGAAGGATTATTTGATGTCCTTCTCCGAGTCATGCTCCATAAATCAAACCACTTTGGCAAATGAGAACTTTCCTTCCCTTTTTTCTTTTTGGCCATAAGATCCAAAAAAGATTGGGAGTTAACTTTTCCTAGAGACGACCACCCCGTGTGGAGCACTTTTCATCAGATAATTCATCGGAATTCGGCGGTGTTCCCTGGGGTTCTTTATGAAAATAGTTCAAGAAAAGAATAGAGAATAGAGAAAGAACTCGTATAGATTGGTATCTTCACATTCTTCTTCTTTGCTCACTCACTTTTGTGCCAGAATGCGTTGGAAGGAGTGGGTAGTGGACGAAGAGAAGACCCGTCAATTTTATGAGGGGATTATGAAATCACAGCCACTCAGAATAACCAAAACCAATTGGTGAGAAGACAAAGGGAAGAACGTTTTTGAAATTATTTGTACTAGTTAGTACAAACTATTTCAGTAAGGAACCTGTGCAGCTGAAATTGTTGAATTTTCGAATTGGGACAATATTCCATACTACCGTAGTCAAAGTAAACGATCTAGGGATAACCAACATGAACGATTTATACCGTAAAACCTGTATTAGAAGGGCCCCTTTAATAGAAGGACTTCTTTATTAGAATGGCCCTCTCAGAGTGGTCTGGAAAAAATAGAAAGTCCCTCCTTCAAAATTTGTTGCTTAAGATTGACAATTTCCGTAAGTTTTCAATGAAAAATAGTTCTGAAATTCGACAATTTCACAGGAATTAGTTGAAACACTTTTTTTGTTCAAAAACTGGCTGAATTATGGTGAAATTGATAGTTTTTAATGAATTTCGCAAGAGAGTTTTTGGAAAAATCGGAGCTGTGGAAGAGGAACTCCGGTGGCCGTGGCGGGACGCCCCACAACGATGACTCCTAAAATATTTTACGGTAGTTGCCGATGTGGGAACTTCGGCCACAGCCACCTCCATTTCTCTTCCACAGCTCCGATTTATTTGTCCCACTGAATTTCTGAAATTTTCAAGATTTCATTTTCTTACTGTATCGAGATGCCCTGAATCGTAACACTAGTACCCAACAAGTCCCAAAATAAATGAACTTTCATGCCCTTTTGTAGTATTGAGTCAGCCACTGAAACACGCAAGAATTAAATTTTTCGTGTCGAGACCCAATTAATTGTTTTCCGTTTTCCTTTCACACCTAATTCAATATTCAACAAGAGGGCTCTTCTTGCGCCTCCCACACAACTTATCCTTCCTCTTCTTTTCCTAAATTACTGCTTTTTCTCAACTGTGACGCAATTATTGCATTTTCAATGAGCGGTTTGTATGTGTTACTGACAATGAGGGGTCAATACACATGAAAACCTAAAAAGGGGACCATAAAGATAACTTGGAATTAATTACAGTTTGATTTTCCTGATTAATTTGAATTCCATTTTGAATATTTTCCATGTGACTACTTTTAAAAGTACTCTTTGTGCTGATGACATTTTGAAGAAGGCACGAGCGGTTCCTCAATTGAATTTCAAGTGTTTTGAAAATTGCATCAATTTCTGTTCTTTTCCAAGCAAAAGCCAGGGTTTTGAATTTTTATTGTTCCTCAGGGTTTGCAAGGATTTTATAGGAATTTCTCAGAAAAACCGTATCCAATCAATCCTTCCCAAATGAAACCAACCGAATCGGGACCCTCTTAGAAATCAAAAGAGCCATAAATCCGTTCACCTTTTCTTCTCACATATATGTATAATAATAATGATAGGTGTGGTTATAGGCGTGCTGCTCTTGACCTTACAAGCCGTCTTGGAGGAATTAGTAATTGCCTGACGGCTGTATTAGGATTTATAGGGAAAATGGGACAGGTGAATTGAAAAGGAATGGACATGAGATTATCAGAGACGTTTGAAATTCAAAACTCGTACAGCATAAATACAAAGAATTTGAAATGGGAATAAAAAAAAGGGGTTTCGAGATTTCTATTTTGCAGTTCGACCAGTGGCGCCGTCTTCTCCGGAAATCAAATCTTTTACCAATCGTTCAATCACACTCGTCTGGACTCACAATGCTGCCAGAGCACATCGGCCCATTCTCCGATTTTCCGTATCGGTTAGAACGGTTTCAGATAACACTAGGTACCTTTTGCTTCATACTGTCCACCAAGCATTGTTAATTTCAGATTCGTAATGGCTGCCCCTTCCAACGCCACTACTGTAATTGTTGACAATTTATCTCCATATACACTTTATGCATTCTCGGTCCGCGCTGAAAATTCGGCTGGATCAAGTGATTTCGGACCAGAAACCACATTCCGAACACTAGGAGAACCTCCAAATAGAGCTCCTCAAATTCAGAAAATACGGAATGTGACATCAGAATGCGTTGAAGTCACTGTAACTCCTCCAGATGAAATGAACGGAGAATTGGAAAAATATTTGGTTTTGATTCAAGCTGTCAATGAGACAAATCCTAGAAAAATGACATTTGATAAACCAACATCAACTCCATTAACAATTTGTGCACTGACACCATCATCAGAATATGCTTTGGCAATAGAAGCAGATAATGGATTTGGAACAAGTCCTCAAGCAACATTGGTATTCCGTACAGAAGACTCAGTACCGAATTGGTCTCCGAGTACAATTAAAACAACGCCAGTAGTCGGGAAGCCTGAAATCATAGTACTCTGGCTAGCTCCACCGATGAATGCAACCGAGAAAGTGGTCAAATATCATTTGTATTATAAGGCAAATAATGAAGATCAATGGAAGATAGAGCATCTGAATGTGAATCCAAATGAAGTAAAATCGAAAATGTTCAAATATCGACTAGTGGATCTTAGTAAGTCCTTAGTTTATAAGACTTTAATATCCAACCTTACAATTTAGATCCAAACACTCTCTATCGTATTCGTGTATCTGCCTCAACATCAAAAGGAGAAGGAAGCCAAAGTGCAGATAGTCTCGCTCAAACAGATGTTGGAGAGCCTGGAACTGTCATTTTCAAGGATCTCAACTTTGATTGTAAAAATGGAGTAAAACTTAGTTGGAACTATGAACCAAGTGTCAAGTGAGTTTTTGGCCCAAAATAATTTTTATAGAGGGGGGAATAGGAGGTTTTTTGGTTTTATGCTAAAGATTGCTTTTCATACTTTTTGACACCGATTTTCCCCATTTGCTTGAATATACAAGTTATAGCCAAGTCATAGGTCTTCAGCCGCCGTTTTTATACTTTTCGGCAACCACGCTTTACCTGGGACCTCCAGCGTTAGGTACACAAGTTCAACTCCTCGATAAATGGAATTTTAAGACAGTTATTTTTTTCATGTCCTCCCACCTTTAACCAAAATTATTCAGCTCGAAAAAGTCGCCAACCTTCACTGTAAAAATAACAAATCAGACGACATCTCTCCAATTCAACACCACTCGCCAAACTGTAAGCTTTTTCTGATTATACTTTTCTAATATAAAGATTTCTAGCTGGATATAATTGATCTCTCCCTTTATGACGAGTATTCTCTGCGAATAATTGTTTTGGAAAGGAGCACAATCGACAATACCACAATTCTGATTGGAAAATACAGCGACAATCATAGATTCATATTGAAAGGTAGTCTTTTTCAAACTCTTTTATTTCAAAAATGAAATTTTCAGACAAATGTGCTTATCAAAGTTCATTCTGTTCTCCAGGAGAAAAATGTGCGAAATTGACATCATCTGCAGCGAATCCACAGTATATTTCGGTGCTGATTGTGATTTTTGCTATCATAATTTTTGCATTCATCTGTTTTATCATTGTTCATTTTGCACGTGGATCTATGAATTTCAAACATCTTCTGAAGAAAAAAGAGAAATGTGTATATTTGGAAGAGATCAGCCCTCTGGTATACGGTAGGCTTAACAGGTCGGACATGATTTCAATGAAATGTTATTGTTTAGATTCCGCTGGTCAAGAAGACATTCCAGTGGAGTTGTTCTATGGATATGTGGAAGATCTCAATCGAAACGATGCGTTGAAATTCAAAACACAGTTCCAAATATTGGAAACGCAGACATCGGGAATTGATCAGGCGGATTCTGGAGAATCGACGTCATCAGCAGATGAGAATTCACAAAAGAACAGATACAACAATATAGGAGCAATGGAAGCGACGAGAATTAGACTGAATTCACCAACAGGAAATGATTATATCAATGCAAACTATGTTGATGTGAGTTTTTACATTAAAAGGGATATTTCTGAATACCTTAAAATCCTGTATCAGAAGGGACGGCCCTTCTATTGGTGCATGGTACCTCTAACGGGCCCTTCTATTACAGGGGTTCTTCTATTTTTCCAGACATATTTCTGATAAAGTGTGAAACTTACGGAATATTTTTATTGAAGACATATGGGAAATATTATTTTCAAGCAACACAATTTTAAGGGGACCCTATACGTATTACGAGGGCGCTTTTTTTTTCCAGCTGTTCTTGGAGGGCCCTCCTATTAGATGAACCCTTCTATTAAAGGGCCTTTTCAGTACAAGAATATTTACGGTTTATTTATTTTCAGTCATGCAACGAACGCAACGCATACATTGCAACACAAGCACCCCTTCCATCTACTTTTTCGGATTTTTGGAGTATGATTTGGCAGGAAAGAAGTAATGTTATTGTCTGTATCACCAATATGGTTGAAGATGGAAAGGTAAAAAAAGGCATGTCTTATTTCCCAAATTCTATTTTCCGTTTTCAGAGAAAATGTGATCAGTACTGGCCATCAGTTCCAGACTCCCCACAGAACTTCGGAAACTATCAAGTGACGCTTATATCTGAATCCACTAACGCACACTTCTCCCATCGAGTACTCGATCTTAAAATAGCAAAATCAGTTCCTGCTGCGGAGAGAAAAATACATCAGTTACATTTTGTGGGATGGCCAGATCACGGAGTACCTTCTTCTGTATTTCCACTCTTGAATTTCATTCATTACGCATCTGACATACATTCTACTGGTCCAGTTGTTGTGCATTGCAGGTGATTGAACTTTATAAAGTCTGTATATTTAAATAGGAATGATTTCAGTGCTGGAGTTGGTCGTTCTGGTTCTTATATTCTTGTGGACAGCATGAGAAGACATTTGATCAGTTTTCGAAGGCTCAATGTACAAGGACATCTGACTCATATGAGAAGGCAGCGAGCGAAATTAGTTCAAACTCTGGAACAATACATATTCTGTCATGAAGCGATTCGACAACTGATTCGACATGGAATCACGCGGGTGCATTCGGATCTATTTATGAGATATTTGCATTATTTATCAGAAGAGAATCTGAACGGGAAGACAAGAATGCAGTTACAATATGAGGTGATACATTCAATTCTAATACATTAAATGCAAATTTTGTGTTTTCAGGATGTATGTGAATGCAAACATCAGCCTCGATGTCTCATAGACTCGGATGTTCTCACTCTTCCTGGATATCATCGATCTGATGAATTCATGGTGGGATCTTGGAGTCATGAATGTGAAGAACTATGGAAGTTGATTTGGAAACGAAAAGTCCAAACTATTGTTGTACTAAATCAACGGGATTCATTCTGGAGGAAACTTCATTTATGTGAAGATATTCAGTTACAACATGGCGACAATTTCGTTTTAATGCAAAGGGAAGATCAACAACTTTGTGTTCGAATTATGAATGTGGCAAGATCAGATCTAGATGCAGATTTTTGGAGGGAAATTGAGAATGTGCAGAAACAAAGAATCACTTATCATGATGCCCCATTACTCATCCTTGCTCAGAAATTCCCTCCAAACGCATCATCTCCAACGGATAGTACATCCACGCTATCCCTTTCAATGTTATTTAATGGTTAGAAAACTTTATCCGGAATTTTTGAAATCTGAAAATTTCCAGATGATTCATCTCTTGCATTCAGTATTTGTGCAGCAACAACATTAGCGTGCCAATTGGAAACTACGGGTTGTGTTGACGTGGTACAAGTTCTTTCATCTTATACTGAAATTCAATGTGGTATTTTCTCCTCAAAAGTAGGTCCAGAAAATTCAGAGAATCTCATTTGAAACCATTTTTTGCAGCAAGAAATCGAGATAATCTACGAAAAGATATCGCAGCTGGTCGAAGGAACTCGTGTCTGATGGACCAAGAAACTCCTCTTCAAAAAACTAAAGATTCCGTGCAAAACAAAGAATACAAATCAAATTTCCGGTGTATGAAAATAAATGTTTATTTAAATTATATAAAGGTTCTCAATTTTAAAATATCAACAAAATGCTAAATGTTCAAAGCAGAAATAATGAAAAAACAGGAAAGCGATTAAAGTTGTTTCAATGTCTTGTCGAGAAGGTCGAATGTCAGATCCAAGTGTTTTTTGGTGTAAACGAGAGATGGTCGGAAACGAAGAGAACGATCTCCGCATCCTCCGCAGTGAAGTCCGTTACTGATAGCCTGAAAGTTTTCAGATGAAATTAGTTCCCCTTTTTTCTTAACATACCAAGTCAACAAATTTGTCTCTGAGAGCTCCAGATGGGAAGTCAACAGCAGCAAATGTTCCTCTTCCTCTGGCTTGATCCAACTTTCCTCCAGATGATGCTTGAAGCTCTCCGAGTCTCTTCTGGAATTCAGCTCCAACTTGTCTGCTCTGATCAATCAGTCCATCTCTCTTAATCACTTCAACAGCCTTCTCCAACAGCAACAATTTGGTTGGGTCTCCCATCCAGGTGTTGTAGATACGGTAAGCCTCCTTTACTCTCAAATGCTCTCCATAGAAGTATCCTCCAGTCAATAACTTCTTTGAGAAGGTGACCATATCTGGTGGAGAGGACAAGTTCCAGTGATCATGAGCCCAGACGTCTCCAGTAGCTCCTCCTCCAGTTTGAACTTCATCAACAATGAAAACAACTCCGTTCTTGGCAGTAATATCGCGAAGTCCTTGGAAGAAAGCTGGACTACCGTAATGGTCTCCTCCTTCGGCTTGAATTGGCTCAACAATGATGGCTGCTACGTCATTATCACGACGCTTCCACTCAGCAATTTTAGCTTCAACGTCAGCAAGACATTCTTGATCTTGTTTCTTGTTATAAGCGGCGTTCTGATCGAGTGGATATTTGTATCGTGGGAATTTGGCAATTGGCCAATCAAATGCTGGGATATCGACTTTATGAATTGGCTTACTTCTGGTTACAGAAAGCATGCAGAGGGATCTTCCATGGAATGCTCCTTCGAATCCCATCACAGAAAGATTTGGAGTTCCTGGCTTTTGTTGAGTCATGCAGCTTTCCAAATGAAGAGCATCTGGTCCAAGACCACCTCTTCTTTGAGCTTGATACCAAATGAAAGCCGTCTTGATGGCGTTTTCATTGGCAGAAGTTCCACAGAGCATCGTTTGAACAGCTTTCAATCCTTTTGGAGCAATGGAAGTGAGAGCATGAGAGATGCCACCAGCGAAATCGGTACGTGGGAACGATCCCAAAGCTGGGCGAGACACAAGAGAAGTCTGAAAAATAATTGGGTCAGCTGGAAGCCAGTTAATGAAGACTAACGATCAAATGTGGTTGAGTGGCAACTTTGACCAAATCTGGATGGTTGTAACCAAGTGGAAGAGAAGAGATTTGAGTGTAGACATCAAGGAGAGTGTTTCCTGAAATACTTAATTATGAATCCATTTATTTGATTGGAATTTTGAATTTCTTCTAAACCAACGTTATGATTCTGGTATAAAAATCGGTGCTGTAGAAGAGAAACGCCGTTGGCCGTGGCCGAAAGTTCCAAAGCGATAACTACCGTAATCTAAAAATATTGTTATCTTCCGGCTTTTTTTGTTTACTGTTTTTGTTGGGTTTTCTGTTACTTGTCGAACAATTAAAGTTTTTGATAGTGAAAAAATTGACCGAGAACGCACAAAAATAAATAGTTTTAGGTTACGGTAAATGTTTTAGTTGGACCTACGGCCACGATCACATGAGTTTTTCTACCACAGCAGTTTTGCATACCAACATGATAGTTATTAGCTTTTTTTTGTAAATATTGAACGTTTGGAATGTTTAGAATTTTTGAACTTCACCCACCATCAGCATCCACCACATAGTTTCCGAACGACTTCTCATAGTCGACGTGGAAACGGACAGAAGTTGTTTGCTGAAAAAAATTGAAATCTTTGAAAAAAAAATGAAATTCGAATCAAAATCTAAAAAAATTCAATTCAGTTCAATTCATTATATCTCGTTTCGAGATCAAAGTATCAATTAGCTCGCATGTGTCAGATGGTCCTTCGCAGAGTGTAACATTTTCGAGCAGTTTCTCTGCAGAACGAAGTGCGTCTGACTACAGAATACACTTTTGAAATTGATTGCTCGTTTTGCCTATTTCTCTAGATCTACAGTACTACAGTGACTACTGTATACGCTTCATTGCTTACATGAACTATGTCCATTTCCTGTCTCAATTCCTTGGACCGTGGTCCTGGAATGCTCGTCTTGATACTCGGTCCAGATGGTTCAGCATTTGCAATTGCAGACACTCCTCGAACTGAAAACTATTTACTTCTTCAGGTTAAACTCTATTTTTTAGTTTTCTGATCTTTTTTCTTCGACGACAAGAGTCAATCAACGATTTTTTTACTGATACATGAGTGATAAGAAAAAAAGAAAATGATAATAAAATGTGTTGTTTGTTTCTGTTGACTGTAAATGTCGAAGTGAAAAAAACTAATTTAGATGGGCGACGAATTGGAATGAAAAAATGGAATGAGAGATTTTTGAAAATTTCTAAAAACCTGGACCTTAATAATGGAAAATTTATTTTGATTCCGCTTATGATAATATTTTTGTGTAAAACAAAAATTGTTTGAATAAGTTAGTTCACTGAATTGAAAAGATTACCCTGCTGAAGTACCGACGATTTGGCCAGTCTGGGAAGCATTGTCTTCCTGAAAAGGCTTAGTTATCTTCTGAAAAACCGAAAAAAGAAAGAAAAAGAGAAAACAAAGAAGAGTAAAATGTGAAGTGGCAGAAGAGAAAACCGAATATATTTCTTTCCCGTTTCCCCTTTTGGGGCGTTAAACGAGACGCAGACGGGAGGAAAGGGAGGAGTTTAGTTTTTTTGGCAGGAAAAGACGATGCTTCTTCTTTTCTGTGGAAAAAAATTTTTTTTGAAATAAATAAACTGGAAACGACGAAGGATGAAGACGTTTATATTGAACTGAATGCTGTAAACTTGCTCCACATTGTGCAAGGGAAAGGACTCGTTGAGCAAGAAGGGGAAGAAGAAGAAGGGAGATGAATGGGGGTGTAATCTGAAGGACAACTGACACGGAAAGATGGGGTCACGTGTTGGCCAATCGATTCATTGTTTCTTCAGATTCTGGAGATATCGAGAAATGAGAAGAAGAAGATAAAAAGAAGACTCACAATCTAACCGGGTATACGCATATTACTTCATACAGAAAAAACAAGACAAGAGAAAGATGGACAATGAATTGAAAAAGAACTCGACTGAATGTTAATCAGAACTAAGGTGTAAACTGGGTGGGTCATAAGAAAAAGAGAAAAGGAATGAGAAACAGTGGAACTGAGGGAAACTGGTGAAAAGCAAAAGAGATGTATATTCACAATAAATTAAGAAAAATAGATGAAGCAACTTTAATCCAGAGTCTCTTCGACCAGCAATTGTGCAGCTCTCATGTATTTCTGAACGGCAGATTCGAAATCCGATTGCTCAAGTGGCTCAAGTTGTGTCACAGAGCCACCAGAAGCTACTGTAGCCTTGGCACGGGCGAGTAAGGCGAGCCGGCAGACCTGAAATGGTTTATTTGAATTTTTCAAAACGAGATGCAGGATAGAAATGTACATACCTCTTTCAGATCACTGCCACTGAGCCCTTCTGCTTTCTGTGCAATTTTACCCAAATCAACTGAACTTTGGATAGTTTCATTTTTGAGAATGACATTTAGAATTTGACTTCTTTGCTTAGCAGTCGGCACTGGAACTTGAAAGCGAGCAGTCATTCTTCGAAGTATAGCAGCATCGACATCGCGTGGTCGATTCGTTGCTCCCATAACAATTATTTGGTCTCCTGAGCTGGCGAATCCGTCCCACAAAGTCATGAACTGTGCCTTCATCATTGCGGTCGATTCGTGATCGTGTGATTGTCTGTCACGAAGGAATGAGTCGATTTCGTCGATGAAAATGATTGTTGGCTGGAATTTCGCAGCAACTGAGAACACGGCGGCAGCAAGTTTTTGAGATTCGCCATACCACTTATCGGTGAGAATAGAAACTTGAAGGTTGATGAACCTGAAAACTTTGTTCTTTATAAATCAGCAATTCTGAATGGTATATCAAAAAGGAACTACAAATTTCTTCAAAATTTTTCAATGGAATTTTTGTTCGTAAATTCCGATCGGAACATTTCCGAATCAAATTCCGATTGGAATATTTAATTCTGAAACTTTTTAAGGGGTTTTCGGAGCTTTTTTTCGAAATTCGAGTTTTTGACTACGGTATGTCAAAGGCGCATACAAAAAAATTTCTTCCGGATTTTGAGCGGAATTGCTTTCTTTTTTTTCGTTTTCGAAACCCTTTTGTGAATTTTTAATGGAAGTTTTACTTTAGAATTTTAATTTTAAAAAATGCCGAAGGTTCCGGAACACTGAAGTTTTCAACATCGGAGCATTCCGAACTTTTGAAAATCGGAATTCCAGACATTCCGAAAAATTCTCAAAATGCCATTATCCCCTATGACCAACAATAATCTTACCTGCATCCAGCGGCTCTAGCAACAGCTTTGGCTAACAAAGTCTTTCCACATCCTGGTGGACCATAGAGAAGAATTCCTCGCGGGGGTGATAGTAAGTTGCTTCCACTTTGTGCAGCGAATCTCAAAGGCAGAATAATTCGATCTTTGAGTTCCGCAACAAGCTCTTCACACCCTCCTGAAAAACTATTTATATTTCAAAACTTAACTAATATCTTATCACTAATACCAATTTCATCCCAATCAGCTCCAACATCCTCTCCTCCAACGAACTGAGTGGCAATTCGAACTTCATGCTCCGAAAGTTCGATCTCACGATTTATTCCAAGCTCTTTGAAAAGTTTTGCAACCTAAAATACTTCAGTGTGCGATATTCTTGAAATTTTAGAACATCAGTTCACTGAACGAAGATTTCCTTTTAATATGATATTTATGTGGGACTTTTTGTATGTCATAATTCAGGATGTTCCGTACCTTCTTTTTGCAATCTTCGTTAACCCCATAATTCGGATCCAGGTATTTTGTCATATACCGTAATGAAAGGTAAGAAACAGCTGCTGCGGCTACAAGCCTGACGGCCACCCCAATAAGCTCATTTCTGTCCATCTCTGAAGCATTACTGTTCTTGCTAGCCAAATCAGAATTTTGAACTAGGTATCTATGCTTTATAAACTTGGAACATTTATCTGATATGGCTGAATACAGATTTATATCAACAATTTTATTGAAGGGTTTTGAATTAACAGGTAACAAATTAGTTGGATGCACGAATCGAAACCTGGTACACTCGGATGATGTTGTCGGTGTATCCGGCGAAGAGAGTCTGTCCATCCTGAGACCAGGCCAAAGAGATACACTGCGGGCTGGATCCTCTTCCGCTTCCGGAGCTGGCGATTTCTGGCTTGAGCTCTTCGATCTCCTTCTTGTCCTCGAGGTCCCAGATCTTGATGGAGGATCCGACAGCAGCGCAGAGCCAGTATCTGTTTGGAGAGAAGGACATAGCGTTGATGACATCGTTTCCGGAAAGGGTGTACAAGTGCTTGCCCTCGTTGAGGTCCCAAAGCATAGCTTGTCCGTCTTTTCCTCCGGAAGCGCAAAGGGAACCGTCTGGGGAAACGGTAACGGTGTTTACGTATCCGGTGTGACCGATGTGGTTGGTCTTCAGACGGCAGTTTCCGAGGTTCCAGACCTTGACCACCTTATCCCATCCAGCGGAGACAATCACTGGATCGCGGTTGGATGGCGAGAATCGGACAGTGGAAACCCAGTCAGTGTGGCAATCATCCTGAGAAATATTTTTATAAAAACTGTATGCGAAAATGAACACTCACGGTGATGGTGTATTTGCATTGAGCAAGGGTGTTCCACAGCTTGATGGACTTGTCGCGAGATCCAGAAACGATTTGTCTGTTGTCAGCAGAGAAGGCAACAGAAAGGACGTCCTTGGTGTGGGAGATAAATTGGCGGGTGCTCACTCCCCTGAAAAATACTTTGAGCAAGATTCTAAATACAAAATAATTACTGGTTGAGGTCCCAGAGGCGGAGAGTCTTGTCCCAGGATCCGGAGAGGGCGAACTGACCATCGGAAGAGATGACGACGTCGGAGACGAAGTGGTTGTGTCCGGTGAGGGAGCGGACTGGTCGTCCAATAGCTCCACCATCGATTGGGGCGACGCTGTCGACATCCCAGACGAGGATAGTCTTATCTGTAAATAATAATGGTTTTTTTGAATGCGGAGAAGGAATTATAGAAAATTTAAAAAAAATCACTTACCGCGGGATGAAGACAAGACAGTGGTCTTGTCGTTGCGGGTGTAGGTGGCGATTTGGGTAACCCATCCGGTGTGACCCTCAAGGGTTCCGGTAAGCTTCATTTGCTCTTGAACCATGTTGCTATCTGTGTAACCCCGTTCGATCTGCTGAAAATAAAATCGAAGATAGTTTTGACAAAATTTAAAAGAGTAAAAAATCAGCTAAAACACAGAAAACCACACTTTTGCAATTTAAATCCGACATTAATTACAATTTTCTAATTTTTTTAGTCGGAAATCACTACAAAAAGTCCATCCTTGACATAAAAACTTCAAAAAAAGAGAAAATTGTCCTAAAAATTCGCGTGAAACTATCCAGCCAGAGGCAACCCTTGAAGTCTTTTTCGCGGCGAGACCCGCCGGAGAAATTCTATGCGCCTTTAAACTGGCACTTGGCCAGCTGCACGATTTACGGGAAAAGCAACTTATTTTTTTTTGTTTTTCGGGAAATAAAAATGAAATTCTCTGTCATTTTTTGGTTTTTTTTCTAATTCAGTTTTCAACAAGTGTTTGAATTTTTCTGTGGCTTTCCTTGATGTTTCGATACAGAATCATGACTTCTTAGTTAATAGTTTTGTTATTAATGTTATATCTATGTGATAAATGGCAAAGTTGTTGTCTAATGGGATTATTCATGTAGCGAAACTCTGTATTGAAATGCATTTCGGCGCCCTCGAA